CCCGCAGAGGTCCACCCATAAGTTCCGCTGCCATCTATTTATCAAATGTTGTTTAATTACGATATTAATCTGACTCACTCAAATGTGAGTTATTCTCATTAGTTTAAAAACAACACGTTTCAGGTAAATGTCTTACTTGAACAGTTTAGCAGTATATTGGTGAGTAGATGGCTGCGGAACTTGCTGCGCTATACCTACAGCAGAGATCCACCCATAAGTTTCGCAATAATCCATTTATTTGTACTTGAACAATAACTTATTATATAAACTCAAAATTTGTAAGATTATGATTATTCACTTTTTGTCAATTCGCCTTTCAACAGGAATTAGTGATGTTACTTTACCAAACTAGTAATATATTGTGACAAGTTATTCAAGTACAAATGAGTGAATTGTTGCGGAACTTATGGGTGGACCTCTGCGGGACGAGCGCAGCGAGTTCCGCAGCCATCTACTCACCAATATACTGTTGAACTATTCAAATAAGATACTCACCTGAAACGTTTAGTTTTTAAACTAATGAGAATAACTAACATTTAAGTGAGTCAGGTTAGTATCGTACTTGAACAACATATTGATGAATAGATGGCTGCGGAACTCGCTGCGCTCGTCCCGCAGAGGTCCACCCATAAGTTCCGCTGCCATCTATTTATCAAATGTTGTTTAATTACGATATTAATCTGACTCACTCAAATGTGAGTTATTCTCATTAGTTTAAAAACAACACGTTTCAGGTAAATGTCTTACTTGAACAGTTTAGCAGTATATTGGTGAGTAGATGGCTGCGGAACTTGCTGCGCTATACCTACAGCAGAGATCCACCCATAAGTTTCGCAATAATCCATTTATTTGTACTTGAACAATAACTTATTATATAAACTCAAAATTTGTAAGATTATGATTATTCACTTTTTGTCAATTCGCCTTTCAACAGGAATTAGTGATGTTACTTTACCAAACTAGTAATATATTGTGACAAGTTATTCAAGTACAAATGAGTGAATTGTTGCGGAACTTATGGGTGGACCTCTGCGGGACGAGCGCAGCGAGTTCCGCAGCCATCTACTCACCAATATACTGTTGAACTATTCAAATAAGATACTCACCTGAAACGTTTAGTTTTTAAACTAATGAGAATAACTAACATTTTAAGTGAGTCAGGTTAGTATCGTACTTGAACAACATATTGATGAATAGATGGCTGCGGAACTCGCTGCGCTCGTCCCGCAGAGGTCCACCCATAAGTTCCGCTGCCATCTATTTATCAAATGTTGTTTAATTACGATATTAATCTGACTCACTCAAATGTGAGTTATTCTCATTAGTTTAAAAACAACACGTTTCAGGTAAATGTCTTACTTGAACAGTTTAGCAGTATATTGGTGAGTAGATGGCTGCGGAACTTGCTGCGCTATACCTACAGCAGAGATCCACCCATAAGTTTCGCAATAATCCATTTATTTGTACTTGAACAATAACTTATTATATAAACTCAAAATTTGTAAGATTATGATTATTCACTTTTTGTCAATTCGCCTTTCAACAGGAATTAGTGATGTTACTTTACCAAACTAGTAATATATTGTGACAAGTTATTCAAGTACAAATGAGTGAATTGTTGCGGAACTTATGGGTGGACCTCTGCGGGACGAGCGCAGCGAGTTCCGCAGCCATCTACTCACCAATATACTGTTGAACTATTCAAATAAGATACTCACCTGAAACGTTTAGTTTTTAAACTAATGAGAATAACTAACATTTGAGTGAGTCAGGTTAGTATCGTACTTGAACAACATATTGATGAATAGATGGCTGCGGAACTCGCTGCGCTCGTCCCGCAGAGGTCTACCCATAAGTTCCGTTGCCATCTATTTATCAAATGTTGTTTAATTACGATATTAATCTGACTCACTCAAATGTGAGTTATTCTCATTAGTTTAAAAACAACACGTTTCAGGTAAATGTCTTACTTGAACAGTTTAGCAGTATATTGGTGAGTAGATGGCTGCGGAACTTGCTGCCCTCGTCCCGCAGAGATCCACCCATAAGTTTCGCAATAATCCACTTATTTGTACTTGAACAATAATTTATTATATAAACTCAAAATTTGTAAGATTATGATTATTCACTTTTTGTCAATTCGCCTTTCAACAGGAATTAGTGATGTTACTTTACCAAACTAGTAATATATTGTGACAAGTTATTCAAGTACAAATGAGTGAATTGTTGCGGAACTTATGGGTGGACCTCTGCGTCAATATGTTGTTTAATTACGATACTGACCTGACTCAGTCAAATGTGAGTTTTTCTCATTAGTTTAAAAACTACACGTTTCAGGTAAATGTGTTACTTGAACAGTTTAGCAGTATATTGGTGAGTAGATGACTGCGGAACTCGCTGCGCTCGTCCCGCAGAGGTCCACCCAATGGTTCCACAACAATTCACTTATTTGTACAGGGTGTTTTTTTATATATCGACACTCCACCTACCTTCTTTACCTCCAGGTAGAAAAAAAGTGTAAATAAGAAAGTTGTACAGTTTTGGTTGAATTTTTAGAAACCATAGTCAGAAACAAAATTTGAATGTCAGAAATGTGAAATTTTGCATACGTTCAGTTTTTTTTAAAATGAGATGCCCTATATTTCATTCATTCTATATTCTTGTGAAGAGCACAATGCTCCGATTCCAAAAATATATAGTTTTCTATATTTGATTAATAGTCTCTCATATCGTCGGCATCATATGACAATTGCCTAAGTCCAATTTTTTTCAAAATTAAGATTTTAGTGCAGTCTTGTGAGAAACTCAATAATCTATGATCCAACAAAATATTTGGGAGATAAATTGTTAGATGGAGCCACACAACCATGAAAAGAAATTTGCACAAGTCCATCGTCGTCATAAGACAAAGTGAAACTTGCGTAAGTCCAATCTTTTCTGTGCATTTTTGCCGGTGATTTGTTACGATTTGTATCATGTAGTTTTTCTTCACAAAGGTTTTTTCCGCCTCCTGTAAAATTTACCTTTTTGGACTTAGGCAATTTTCATATGATGCCGACGATATGTTTGGCTCTAAAAATTGTAAAAATACTATCCTACTATACTGATTTTGTGAACCAGGCCAAGCGACAAGAAAGTACTAAATCGGCGACAAGAATATTACACTAAACCAAAAGAAAATACTTAAACCTAACCTATGAACCTCATAATACATACCAACCATTGAAAAAGTATGTCTTACTCCTGATGTTTTCAACGCTTAATGTCCGACTAATTATTTTGTATATCAGAAAATTTTGAATAAATTAATCTAAAAGAAATCAAGGACTAGCATTTACCTGGAAAAGAAGTCATAACGTAAGTTATTTAAATAGTCATAACGCCCTAGGGCGTTATTTTCTAGCATAACGCCCTAGGGAATTATTTCGTATTTCACTGACTTTAACATAATGTCATTATTTATCAAATATTAAAGTCGGATATTAGCTAAAATAATGTAGGTACTAGAATATTAGGTCTGTTTCTGCAGAAATCACATTATTTTCTAGCATAAAGCCTTAGGGAATTATTTCGTATTTTACTGACTTTTACATAATGTCATTATTTATCAAATAATATAATAGTCGGATATTAGCTAAAATAATGTATGTATCTACTAGAATATTAAGTCTGTTTCTGCAGAAATCACAAACCAGTCAGAGTGAATTTCATTGGTTGAAACTATAATTTTCTAACTGTTTTCAACCAATGAAATTTGCTCTGGTGATTACTAAACTAAAGGAAAATACTTAAACCTAACCTATGAACCTCATAATACATACCAACCATTGAAAAAGTATGTCTAACCTATGTGAGAGATGATGAGAGATCTCAGAGAGAAATGTTTAGACATAGGTACCTACTCACAGATGCAAAATCAACTGTGGCCGCGTTTTAAGTGATATACTACTATTGCTATCTCCGAAACGGTAAGAGTTACGGAGTCGGTAAAATTTTGAATTAAACAAAAGTGGCAGGTTTTTGTATCTATTGGAGGTAAGTTCACAGGGTTGCCAATTTTTTGTTCGTTTCCGAGATATAAAGGAAAATGTGAACACAACTAAAAGCCGTGTGAAGATAACAATGACACCATTTTGTAGAGAAGAAAGAATCTTGAATCTTTTGTATGAACACATTTTTCTAGAGTTGATAAATTTCGAAATATTCATTAAAAAAGTTTTATTTTTTTTTACATTTTCCCTTATAGGTACTTACCTCCGAAACGAACAAAAACTTGGAAACTCTGAATACCTACTTACTTTCAATGGATACTTAAATCTGTCACTTTTATCTAATTTAACAGACCTCGTCCCTCTTATTGGTGCAATAGCAATAGCAATAGACACCCTGTATAAAGAAAAATTAGAAGAAAAAAAAATATACATAAAAGATGGGCCCCGGGAAAATCCTTGCGGCGGAGGGGCCCGGATTTGAAGTTACGCCACTGCCTGTACAGGTGAAAGCTGCAGGTAAAATTTAAGGTAGGTACTTGGTTTTTCTGATAGTATTTTTAAAATTTTTAGAACCAAATATGTTGGAGCCGGCTCAACCAAATATAGACAAACTATATAATTTTGGAATCGGGAAATTGTACTCTTCAAGAATATAGAACCAAATATAGGGCATCCCATAGGTAGTGCATATTTAATGGGAATATCTCATGTGTCTTAATTCTAATAAACTATTTCTCATAAGTATATTAGTATTGGTGTTTAATTTTCTAATGCAAATTTTCATAGTCCAATACACAGTCTAATGATTTAATGGTTTGAAGAAACGTAGTTAAACTAATTAATTGAGTATACCCTAATAATAATGCTTTATCCCTTTAACAAAGCAATTTATCTGGTCTACTTAATACTACTGATATTTAGACTGGTAATCTACTAACAAAACAAAATATGACCTGGCAACACTGTAATCAAATAATATATTACTCTATAATATAGTTAGGTACCTACCTTTGTTTAGCAGTTTTATCTTCCAACAATTGCATCTCAACATCCTTCAAAGTCCTGGAAAAAATATCTCTAATCTCAGAACACAGAGCCACTTCTCTAATCAATTCGTCCTCGACTTCGTCTCGCACCAATTCGCTATCCAGACGTCCGGTCCTGCGTTCCAAACACTCGCCAGCTATCGACTCTGGCATTTGCAAAACGGCAGCTGCTTGTTTTAGACGTTTCCGTTGCTCTTCCATCAAAGACATTTCCTCGGAAGCTGCGGCAATGGCACGTTCCAGTTCGCATTTCCAACGCAATATTTCCCGTTCCCTTTGGTCCAAACGTTTCGTGTTGTCTTCTTGGTTTTTGTCCACGTCTGATTGGGTTTGTTCCAGGCATTGCCTTCCGTTCCAATCGACCAAATTAGCTCTGTGCTGTTCCGTTTGGGTTTTTTCCAGAACTTGTTTGTTATGCGACCTCCATTCGCCCGTACTGTATCTGGTTATGGAATATTTATCTACCACAGGTCTGGTACCTGTTAAAACACCCAAAGGGCCCCAGTCAGCTTTTCCCGTAGCCCACGGACCTACTGGACCCATTTCGATTTGTTTCGCCATTATGGTGTCTTCATGTTGAGGCAAATAGCAGGCAGGTTTTTCAGTGGCGTTTATTGGTAATCTGGATTCTGTTTGAGGGGTTTCTTGGGCTTGAGGATCTTGACGACCAGCTGTCGCGTGCATTTCTACTGCTTGAGGTTGATAGGAGGCTCTATTTGTTGTTTCTTCGATAGGTTTTTGTAATTGAGGTTGATAAGATACTCTATTTGTAGCTTCCTCGATAAGTTTTTGTGGTTGTGCAGGTCTTGTGGTTTCCTCAATTTGTTCTACTGGTGTAGATGGATACGAAATGTTTTTATTCAAGGCTGGAACTGCACTGGAAGTGGGACAGCTACAGTTAGCACCTTCACTATTCTTCAAAATACCTTTCAAAGGCTTTACAGTACCTGAAAAAAACAATTATTCCTCTATAAACACTAATTTATCTTAACTACCTTCCTTATTAAACAATTCACAATCAATTACAACTTTATTCTGCTTATTTTCATTATGATTATTCTCTAAACAGCATTTATTTAGATTGGCTTCTAAACAAGGAGGCATGCCGCCTGCATTATGTCGTGCCACAGCCTCATTTCTATTAGCATAAGTGGGCTTTTGCAAATCATAATTCAATTTGGTTGGAGGTGCGTTGAGGTCGGGAGGTAGCAGGTTTTGGGTCACTCCCAATTTGTATTCGAGGCGACAGTTTGGATCTTTAGATTGGATTTGAGGCTGGGGTACGGTATTTTGTGCTAGAAAGTCTGAGGCTTGCGGAGGCTACGAAGTTTCGATTATTGGTTGTTTTCTAAGTAATTATTTACTTACGTTAGAAGCGAATTGAGCTGTATAAGGGCAAGGGCCGCAACTTCTTGCAGGATACTCGGCCATATAAATATTATCGATAAAACATAAAATGGGGTGGATGAATCGATTTAAAAAATAAACTGACAGAATGTGTCATAGAAATGGTGCAGGTAAAGCAAAACTTGCTGGTTTTTCTCATTACCTTTTGTCGCATTAAAAAAATTCAAAAACTTTATATTTCTATATCATTCAAATTCAAAAGTAAGAAGAGAACAAACTTCAAATCTCCTTAGTTTGCATGTAAAATGAAATTGAGTTGCAATTTTCTTTCTTTTTCTATTCCAGAATCCTTAAATTCAATAATTTTTCATTCCAGGCTCCTGGATTTTCGATATTTTTCGTATTTTTATTATTTTTTTATTTCAAGCTCTTAAATTTTATTCCTTGCCCCTCTCCCCCTTAATTTGTTTTTAGGGCACCCTTAAGACAGGCTCGGGAGACACCGGTATCCGCCTTGACCCTGTAAATTCACACCAGACCATAGCGGACACAAAATGATCGGTGGACACCCGGTAAAGAAGTAGATAGGTATATATATAATAGGGTATCCGCCACAAGGATGAACACAGTTTCTACAATCTTTACAAATGATTTTTTTCAGAATGCAAGATACAATATACGTCATATATGTGCATAATACTTCTAATGATCACAGTAACTTGAAACTTTCAGAAATTATGAATTGAAGTTTCCTCTTTGTAAAAAAGTTAATTTTAGGATTCAAATTAAATTTGGAAGCTTTTTCTCACGTTAATGCATGCAAAAATTATTAAAATCTGCAAAAATCACTTGTACAAAGTACTTCTAATGAGGACAGTAACTTGAAACTTTCAGAAATTATTAAATGAAGTTTCCTCTATGTGAAAAAGTCAATTTGAAGTTTATTTGAAGCTCTAAACTAAATTTGGAAGCTTTTTTTTACTTTTATTTATTTCTATATCAAAAAATATAATAGTTTGTATTGTTAGTCTTATATATCTAATTTAAAAACTATCAATAAAGAATCACAGATTATTGGTGTTTGAGGAATTTGAAGTCCTAAAACAAGCTGCTGAAAATACACAGCCAACATTTGGTTTCATTTAGTATTCACCACTACTCGTTTAATTTGATTCAATTTCTTCCTCTTTAATCGCATCCTTACTAATCTCACAACTGGATTTTCCATCTAAACTATTCAAACTAATACTAGAACTTCTCAACGAGTGAAGTTCATCGTCAATAATCCTGACCGATTTCAGTGTAGGAGTTGCGGGTTCTGGCCTGGGAAGTACTTCTTTTGACGAAGACTTGAATTTGCTGAGTTCCTCGTAATTTTGGCAGCAATGGTTCAGTCTGCACAACTCTCCTTGGCAAGCTACCAAACATACGGGCGGTAGTTTTTGGGACGTTAAGCTTTCCATACTGGCACTTGGCCTATAGAATTCTGGCTGGATTGTCACTTGAGTGACGCCATTTTCCATGAAAAATTCTTTGATTTCTTCCATAATGTTACGATAAATCTAAAACAGTATGTATGTTAAGTTAGCGAATATTAATTATTAATCAACTACCTACTTACTTTGGGATTTTCAAAAATAATATGTACTGTTGATATTACTTTAGAAGCAGTCAATTGCCAAATATGGAAATCATGCACATTGAGTATATCAGGAAAATGTTTAATTAGCTCATTTTTCATTGTATCTATGTTTGTGGTATCTGGCATAGTTTGCAAGAGAATCAAGCAACTTTCTTTGATGTAAGGATAGCTCAAACTCATGATAAAAGTGGCCGATACCAAAGAAATCAAAGGATCTATAAATTTAGCTACTTCAGGTTCGGTGAATATAACTAAAATGGCACAAACGATTACTAAGGCACAACCGATTACGTCTCTGGTCATTTCCCATAGTCCTTGTCTTTTTTTAGGTGGAGATGAGAATATTTGTCTGGTTCTCGACAATCTTCTTGCTCCTTTTCTTACAGAATCGTTCACTACTATTTTATTTAGGACCACGTCGCCGCTTTCTGTGACGTAAAGGAAGCTTCCTTGGTGAAAAGTGTAGCCGCCTATAAGGAGGTAACAGAGACCATTTAGGAGTAATCCTGCTGCACCTAGAAAAATATTGGAGATATTTCTGATCTAAATAATAGGCAAGACAGCTTGGAATGATTTCTGAGGTTTTGCATGATCTAAGTTATAAACCAATGGACAATTTCCTTATAATTTCTGAGTATATATTTTTGCAATCAATGATTTTTATGCCCGAAATTGAAGCTAATCAAGATTAGGGCACTTAGGATTAAGTTTTAACTGACGATTCCTGATTCTTATTTATTGAAGGTTTGCTCCATTCAACAAAGACAACAGGAATATATTCAGTATTTTGGAAATTCAGAATATTTATGGAATATATACCGATATTTTGACTATTTGAGAGAAGTTTGGTAGATATTTTTGTGGGATATAGAAGGAACTTTCATAGAACATCTAATATTAAATACTGCATGTTCATAAAATATATTTTAACTATAACATCCTAATAATGTTCTAACAAAGTAGGTACCAAAAATTCATACTTTAATAGCATGGGATGTCCCAGGAAGAATTTAGCTTTGACTGATTTTTAAAGTTGCTGCAATCTCCCAACAAGAACTCAAAATTGCAATTATTTATATGATAAATTTTTTACCTATACACAAAACAGATATCGGATGATGCATGGCATCCTGATGATCGATATGGGCCAAAGTCTGTAAAGCTTCCACGTAAATCGAAAAGCTAAATGAGGCCAAAAACACGCAACAAATCAGCATAGTGATTACGTCTATCCTCGTCCAACCGAAGGTGTTTCTCAATTTTCTTTCTTGCCTTGTCGTCACTCTTTTGTTGGTCTTTTTGTCTTGGCATTCGGTTTTCAGTACCGTTTCTTCGACAGTTGGATCTTGCTCTTGCTCTCCTGGATTATCAGTTCCGTTTCCATACTGAAAAATATGTTGTTTATTCTTAAAATTCAAATTTATGACTCTGCATTTGAATTAAATTAAATGTCACATATTTAAAACCAATGAGGAATTCTAATATAACAAATTTATTGACGCATTATGCATAATTTTGTTTTCTTTATTAATATTCTGGTCTTCTCCATAATGAGCGGCAAAAAATCAATAACAATGATTATGTTGTTTTTTTTTTTAAATCAAATAAATAACTGGCCTGAAAAGTTAGTCACATTTCCTTTGAAAAGATGATTTGGAGCCGAATTCTATGAAAAAAGGCACTCAGAAAAATTGAAAAATTGATAAATCACCCCAAATTGCTAAACACGATTTTATCTCAGGAACTATAAGTGCAAATGAGCTGAAATTTTCAGCGATTGTAGTTCTTTGGAAGGGATAAAATTCAGTGAAAGTTTCAGCTTTCTATCTATAATAGAAAAAAAGTTATGACCTTTCAAAGTTTTTCAAAATCTAAATCATAAGGTACCTTCTTACTAAAACGATGAAATTTCAAATTTTTTTTTGTCGAGATTTTGTATCCTAATGGTCAATCAACATACCTGAAACACCATACACTAAATTATTCTCAGATTTGAAGCCAAAATCTATGAAAAAAGGCACTCAGAAAAATTGAAAAATTGATAAATCACCCCAAATTGCTAAACACGATTTTATCTCAGGAACTATAAGTGCAAATGAGCTGAAATTTTCAGCGATTGTAGTTCTTTGGAAGGGATAAAATTCAGTGAAAGTTTCAGCTTTCTATCTATAATAGAAAAAAAGTTATAACCTTTCAAAGTTTTTCAAAATCTAAATCATAAGGTAGGTACCTTCTTACTAAAACGATGAAATTTCAAATTTTTTTTTGTCGAGATTTTGTATCCTAATGGTCAATCAACATACCTGAAACTCCATACACTAAATTATTCTCAGGTTTGAAGCCAAAATCTATGAAAAAAGGCACTCAGAAAAATTGAAAAATTGATAAATCACCCCAAATTGCTTAACACGATTTTATCTCAGGAACTATAAGTGCAAATGAGCTGAAATTTTCAGCGATTGTAGTTCTTTGGAAGGGATAAAATTCAGTGAAAGTTTCAGCTTTCTATCTATAATAGAAAAAAAGTTATGACCTTTCAAAGTTTTTCAAAATCTAAATCATAAGGTAGGTACCTTCTTACTAAAACGATGAAATTTCAAAATTTTTTTTGTCAAAATTTTGTATCCTAATGGTCAATCAACATACCTGAAACACCATACACTAAATTATTCTCAGATTTGAAGCCAAAATCTATGAAAAAAGGCACTCAGAAAAATTGAAAGATTGATAAATTACCCCAAATTGCTTAACACGATTTTATTTCTGGAACTATAAGTACAAATGAGCTGAAATTTTCAGGGATTGTAGTCCTCTATTGGGATAAAAATCCCTGAAAATTTCAGCTTTCTATCTCTACCTTACTACTAAAATCTTTTGTCCATTTTACTATATATTGTCCCAAAAACCTACTTAATTTCAGCAAAACTTTATGCGTTACAGCACACATTGTATAACACCTTATACAGCTGGTGCATAAATTATTTGAAATTTTCTAATGAAGCAAACATTAATTATTCTTACCTTGATGGTGGTAATACATCCAATCAACGCGAAGATATTGCAGAGCATGTGGTAAGAGTCCATGAGCAATGTCAAAGCGTGCGTGAGGTGACTTACTATCAGTTCAGTGATAAAAAATAGTATGGTCAAGGTGAGGACAACGTAAAGTTGCACCGGTTGCATGTTTCGGAAAAAATCTTTTACTGGCATCTTGAGAATATTTGTCTAAAAATCAATTTTAGAATTAATTAGTATTTTACCAAAAACTAAATAAATGTGCTTTTATCTTACGGTATTCAATTACCTAAGTGATTTTTGTTATCTAGAATTTTGATTGGAGTTATGTTTAATAACGATTATTTCAGAAGGGCAAATGCTGAATTTTACTACAACAATAAATAATTGTTTAGGAAAACATATATTCCTATGGAAATGAGGGCTGATGTGGTAGTATTAACTCTTAATTTTTTTTGATAAAAATTGCATGGAAATCGCAATTGAAGTAAATAGTTATGAAAATCCTTTCATTAGCAGATTTTCGGTTTAAAATTGCTTACAACCCCATAGTCTATGTTTATCCTAAAAATGGTTTTCTCTTTTGAAATATTTCCCTAAGACTAAGACGCCAAATTTGAACTGGAAAAGAATCCTACATTCACCTGAGGATACAATTTCCATTCCAGGCTCTCCTACAATAGTGAACTTCAATTTTTTATTAACTTAGATACCTATGATAGCTCAGAACTCTAATTTCTAACCCATCGTTTAGCTCTTATATAGGAGCTGTATTGGAACTAGAAAAGTATCGAACGTCGATTGCTGATAATTTTTTAAGTTGATTTAGAATTAGAACGGTTCAAAAAGTTTATTTTTACACTAGTAAAGTTGAAATCTGAACTTAAGCCTGAGAATCTCATTCTCGTTTCACTAAGAGTCAAAATTTGAAATGGATAAGTATATTACCTCGATTTCCGGTCATTCTAGAGTCAAATTTGTGCCAAAACTTTTAAAAAAAATCCAATTTTTAACTATTATAGAGGTAAAATACAATTTGAGAAACATGAAAAATCGAGTACAAAAGCTGAATTTTCAACTGGAGAAGTTGAAATCTAGAGTTGAAAAGTTTAATTTCGATTCCTGTCCTATTCTCGTCTTTACAAAGAAGTAAATTTTGAATGGAAAAAGTATAAAATTTTAATCAAAAGCTATGTAAAATTTATTTTAAAATAACTTACTATGTGTTCTGGATAATAACTTTGACTTCTTATTACTATTTCTATATTAAAAATAAACTCTTCGCTATGTTGATAATAAGAACTTTAACATCAAATCACAAAAGCCTCAATCATGCCCGTCGAAAATAAATCAACAAATTGCTATTTGACTGATTGCAATAAATTGACCGGAAACGTTTCATTTGGTAAATTGACTTATTATTGATAGCTTTTGTTAGACAAATTTTTACTTTTTAAATGCTCTTACCTCTCAAACCAACTAAGATTAGGTCAAGAACCTACTCAAATTTACGACTGACTGATGAAAAATAATACAAAAACTGATAACCTAGATAAACATTATTACAATATCTTCATTATTTAGTTTTAACAATCTCATTGTTTTGTTATTAAATCTATTTACCCTGCCTGATGAGAGATAATTATGGTGCAGTGTGGAAAAACCTCCGTTAGGCAAATGGGAGGTTTTGATAACAAGAACAAAAATAAGATTACCTGGGCTTTTAATGAAACTAAATACCACATTTAAAAAAAAAAAGCATAAAATCGTTTATTCAAGTGAATGCATGAATTGTTCCATTGTTATATCACAATTTCGCAATTATTGATTGTGGATTGCGGATAGTTGTTATACAGCCATTATATTAAGCTTAAATTTACATTTGCCTCTCATGAGTGGGTCTTAAATGTAAATTTTTAAACCAGCAGGAGGTGTCTGATGGCTCAAGTATTTTAGATCAATGACTTCAGATTTTTGTTGCATTATTGACTTCCAATAATATGAAAACACATTCACAGGTAAATGAAAGGTGTGAATACAAAAGTTAGTATTGGGCTAAATTTTTAGAATCCATGGTCAGCAGAAACAAAAATTGAATTTCAGAAATGTGAAATGTATGTTTTCAGCTTTTTTTAAATGGGATGCTCTATATTTAGTTCTATGTTCTTGAAGAGCACAATTTCCCGATTCCAAAACTATATAGTTTGTCTATATTGGTTAAGCCGTCTCCAACATACTTGGTTTTGAAAATTTTAAAAATATACTATCAGAGAAATCAAGTACCTGCAGTTTTCACCTGTACAGGGGTGCAATTTTCGAAACCATTCGAGTACATTTCACAGCAATGTAATTTTAAACGGGGAGCATTCGAAATCGTATCAAATTTCGTATGCGAAAATATTCGAAAATAGGACCCCAGGTAGAATGATCCACAAAATCAATAGTAGGATAGTATTTTTACAATTTTTGGAGCCGCATATATGAGAGACTGTTCAATCAAATATAGACAAACTATATATTTTTGGACATTGTTCTCTTCAAGAATATAGAATGAAATATAGGGCATCCCATTTAAAAAAAGTTGGAAGCATGCAAAATTTCACATTTCTGACATTCAAATTTTGTTTCTGACCATGGTTTCTAAAAATTTAGCCAAAACTGTACAACTTTTGTGTTTACATCTTTCTTCTACCTGTAAAGGTAAAGGCTGTAGGTGAGGTGTCAATATATAAAAAAAAACAACCTGTACAAATAACTGGATTATTACGGAACTTATAGGTGAACCTCTGCGGGACGAGCGCAGCGAGTTCCGCAGCCATCTACTCACCAATATACTGTTGAACTGTTCAAATAAGACACTCACCTGAAACGAGTAGTTTTTAAACTAATGAGAAAAACTCACAACTGAGTGAATCAGGTTAGTATCTTACTTGAACAACATATTGATGAATAGATGGCTGAGTCCACCCATAAGTTCCGCAACAATTCACTCGTTTGTACTTGAATAACTTGTCACAAATATAGCACTAGTTTGGTAAAGTAACATTACTAATTCCTGTTAAAAGGCAAATTGACAAAAAGACGATAATCTTACAAATTTTGACTTCATACTGGCGTGAACTTGGCAGCCAAAAGTTAGCAGCCTGAATCCCGAGTCTACCCGAACAGTCAGTGGCGTCGTTTATGTCTTATTTTTGGATATTATACATTCCTTTTTTTATAAATACGATAAAATTAATCCAGTTATTAAAGGTAAACAAGAAAATATTGCAAATGGATTCAATACATGTTTTTGAAGGTAAACAAAGAATTAAAATATTTGAAATATTAATTTTTCACCAACTTACGGACGGGAGTTTCCACATATTTTTCTCAACCAGGTGAAGTCAAAAATGCTTTTACATACGATGAACTCATTATGGGGCACTTCACTTAAGTTGCAAATCAGTCCAAGGGTGGTTTTTGGGAGTGAAACAAGAAAATTGAAAAACTGAAAATATCAAATTTTCCCAGAATTACGTGTCTTGTGACATTTTCTTCACAACCAAATGTATTAGAAACTTTGCCTAGGCACTATAGGCACATTTCGATGCATCATACTCGACTTGCAAATGGGTTCAAGGGTGGTTTTTGGGGGTAAAACAAGAAAATTGAAAAACTAGGAAATTTCAATTTTTCCCAGAATTACTTGTCCTACAACATTTTCTTTACAACCAAATGTATTAGAGACTGTGCCTAGGCATCATGGGCACCTTTCAGGGCACCTAACTTGACTTGCAAATGGGTGCAAGGGACGCAAGGGTGGTGTTTTGGAGGTAAAACAAAACTTGCAATATCAATTTTTCCCAGAATTACGTGTCTTGCGACATTTTCTTCACAACCAAATGTATCAAAACTGGTGCCTAGGCACCATAGGCACATTTCAATGCATCTTACTCGACTTATTGCAAATGGACCCAAGGGTGGTTTAGGGAGTAAAACAAGAAAATTGCAAAACTAGAAATATCTATTTTTCCCAGAATTACTTGTCCTGCGACCTGCGACATTTTCTTCACAACCAAATGTATTAGAAACTGTGCCTAGGCGCCATAGGTACCTACATTTGAATGCATCTTACTTCACTTGCAACTGGTTCCAAGGGTGGTTTTAGAGGGTAAAACAAGAAAATTAAAAAACTGGAAATATCAATTTTTCCCAGAAACACATGTCTTGCGACATTTTCTTCACAACCAAATGTATTAGAAACTTTGCCTAGGCACTATAGGCACATTTCGATGCATCATACTCGACTTGCAAATGGGTCCAAGGGTGGTTTTAGGGGGTAAAATCGAGGGGTATTTCACTGAAGTTTTTTTGTACATATCGTCCCCCTTATCACGTAGAGGCGTATCGAAATTCGTAATTTTTTTCAGGAGACGATAAAAATTTAAATGCACTATTTGTAATGTTGTCTGGTGTTTTCATTTTTAAACAGATCATGGTCATTTTTCTACACTAAAACCTTATGTATATGCTCTCATAAATATGAGGTACTGACCTATGATGGCTTTTATAGATTTTTTGGAAAAAAATAATGTTTGCATATACGCCTTTACGTGATATATTTTTTTCTTTCGCAATAGGATAAGTCCTTTAAAGGAAACTATAACAGATACCGTTACGCCATTTCGTGAGATCAAAAGTGTACCTCAGAAAATTCTAAATTTGTTGAAAACGCAATTTTAGACTTTTGTGTTAGATACGCCCCTACGTGATAAGGGGGACGATATATTGTGCAATACTCTGGTATTGCAGAGTATTGTGAGAGTATTGTGGACTATTGCAAAATATTGCCGAATGTTTCTAGGTATTGCAAACCATTAATTGTGATTATTGTGAACTATTGCAAATTATTACAGTAGATACATAGGTACTACCAAAGAATGTACAACTTATTTCTTCAAACTTTTATATATTTTTTTTTTTATAATATCAAAATTTTAATGATCTAAATCTGAATAAAATAATTGAGATCATCAATGTCATTTTTTCCAGGCCAGGTCAACTGGCTTATGATCAATTTTAGAAACTTCACTTAGCTTCCGCGGGATCTCCAAAGGAAGCTCATGGTGTTGCACAATATATTAGTTTTTTTATGCCTGCATGTGGGGATCCTGCAATATTTTTCTTAATATTATGTGCTTTGCTTTACTAGGCCAGTAAAGTATTAC